CTTGAGTTTGCATCTATTGTGTGCTCTTGTGTTGTTATAGTTGAAGCTGAAGTATTCATTGACAGGTAGGACATTGCAATATATAATTTTATGTACATTGACCACTCTGTTGTGCATCAGTGGAGTCTAGAATTAAATATAAAGAAGATTGACTGCAGGTAGAACAAACCACTTTATTTTACTTACTTATTTGTTTTATTTATTTGATTTGTCAATCGCTTACAAGATAATAGGTATGACTATAAACGTAAGTAAGAACACAGGAAATAGGTACAAATAAATGGGGATAATAGGACAGGGACGGTAGGCATGATTGTGCACTTAGGCATCATCCTCTTAGGATGTGGGATGAGGTCAATAGTGGATAGTTTAAGGTTAAAAGAGTGTGGGGCTAGAGGATGTAACAATAGAGTCAGGTAGAGTATTCCAGGCATTAGCCACTCTGTTGCTGAAGTCGTATTTCCTGCAATCAAGTTTGGTGCGGTTCACCTTGAGTTTGTATCTATTGTGTGCTCTTGTGTTGTTAGTGATCCACACGGAGTCCCCCGCCCTGGGGAACCTTGGCCGGGTGAGGAGGGGGCAGATCCAGCCCTGGGAGGGAGCCCCCTTCACCCCCCTGGAGGGGAAAGGAGGGATCCACTCCCTGCAGGCAACGCCAGAGTCGGATCTCCCCAAGGAAAGGCCTGGAAGCTGAGGAGCGGGATCCGCAGCTCCCTTCTTCCTGGCAGGGAGGGGAGAAGATCTCCTGGCAGGAGGGGCGGCCTGGAGGCTGGAGGGAGCGCAGCCCCACCTGCCCCAACCGGGATCCAGGAGCCTCTCCCGAGGGATCCAGCGGCAATCCTCACCAAGCGAAGCGTGACACGTGGCGATCCAGCCAGTGGGTGGGAGCGGAGGGGGTGGAGCTTCTGCTCTCCTCTCGGGCTCCGCCCCCACCTTGAAGCCCCGCCCCTTCGGCTCCCTTCCGCCCCTCCCTTCCAATATTGCCTCCCTGTTAAGACCACGTGCTCCGAAACTTCCTGGGATCCCTCCGTGTCGGGGGTTCCTCTGCCCATGGTAAGAGTGTCCCACTCTGTACATTGGAAGCGGAGCTGCCTCTCCTGCTCCAGTGTGTAGGAGCTACCTTGTTTCACGTCTTTCTGTTAAGGAACTCCCTTCAAAGTGTCAGGAATTCGCAGCAATATATACGGTTAACTTTTGTTCTACCTGCTAAAATAATTTATTGATGTTCCCTCCTAACCAGATAATGGAATCTTTAATTTTCCGCCCAGGAGCTTTTAAGTCAAATAGCTTCACCTCTTCCAGGGATCTGCAAGTGACCCTGGAGCAGAGGTTACACGATGCCCCCCCCATCACGAGAATTTAAATTGGGTGGGGGTCTCTCTTAAGGCCCCGAGCCTGGGTGGGTTTTCTGCAGAGTCTCAGACTCTTTGGGTGGGTCGTCTCCCAATCCCCAGAGCCCCCAGGACAGCAAAAAGGGGAGAGTTGGGGCAGCAGCCCAGATCTCATGCTTCTTCGCATGGGGGGGCAAATACAAGCAGGGCAGCTCAGCAGCTGAGAGGGCAAAGAGGCCTGGAAAGGCTGCTAGGCCTCTGCAGTAGAATTCCTTCACATTTGGGGTTGAGGGGAGGGAAATCTGATCTGGTCTGTCCAGAGCAGGGGCCTTCCAACTTGACAGCTTTAAGACTTGTGGACTTCAACTCCCAGAATTCCTCCTCCAGTCATGTTAGCTCAGGAATTCTGGGAGTTGAAGTCCACATGTCTTTAAAGCTGTCCAGTTGGAAGACCCTTAGTCCAGAGCAAGGGAGACACGTGTTTCAACAAAGGAAGCTGCGCCTTTGCCCAGAGAGCCCAGCGGAGGATTCCCCAGTGAGGATTCCCCTAGAGCCCACTGTAACTACATAGCCAAACAGGCATTAAGAGTTGTTAACCTAATCCTGCGTAGTTTTTTCCTCTGGTAATATCACACTACTAACTAGAGCATACAAAACATTTGCTAGACCTATACTTGAATACAGCTCATCAGTCTGGAACCCACATTACATCTCTGATATTAACACAGTTGAAAAAGTCCAGAAATATTTCACAAGAATTTTCTACTCCTCTGCTCGTTGCAGAATACCTTATGCCACCAGACTTGAAATTCTAGACCTAGAAAACCTAGAACTACGCCATCTTCGGTCTGGTCTAAGTATAGTATATAAAATCATATATTGCAATGTCCTACCTGCAAATGAATACTTCAGCTTCAGCCATAACAATACAAGAGCAAACAATAGATACAAGCTCAAGGTTAATCGCACCAAACTTGATTGCAGGAAATACGACTTCAGCAACAGAGTGGTCAATGTCTGGAATACTCTACCTGACTCTGTGGTTTCTTCCCCAAACCCCAAAAACTTTTAACTTTAGACTGTCTACTATTGACCTCACCCAGGGGTGGGATCCGACACGGTTAACTACCAGTTCAGTCATTTACGAGGTTCGGTGATTTACGATGTGCTTCCCTGCACGCTGCCAGCGCGCTCCTATAAATTGTTATCAGCATGCTGGGTGCAGAGAAGTAGCCTTTCAAAAAGCCCTTTTTTCCAGCTTTTGTAACTACAGCTGTGCCTCGCACGGCAGCTGAAATTGAAAAAATCAGGAAATAAAGTGGGCAGAAACATCAGCAGACATAGAACCGGTTCTATATCTGCTGCTCTTCAGAGTTACCGGTTCTACAGAGGTGGACAGAACCGGTAGAAACCCACCCTTGACCTCACCCCTTTCCTAAGAGGCCTGTAGGGGGCGTGCATAAGCGCACCAATGCGCCTACCGTCCCTGTCCTATTGTTTCTTTTGTTATTTTTCTTATAGGTATCCATTTCATGTATTCATAACTATGTTTATACTTATACCTATTATCTTATAATTACTTGACAAAAATAAATAAATAAAAATAAAACACATGAACAGGCGAGGGGGCTGGGGAATGGATGCGGCTGGATCCCGAGGGAAGTTTTTGGGGAGGGGGTGGGGGTGTCACATGATTAGGAGAGCGCCGCTCCCACCCGAGGAGTGCTGAACTATCTCTTCCAGCAGGTAGATTCTGCCTAGAGACCGGTGACGCTGAAGATGGGAGAATTCTCATTGGTCCTTCCGCTTTCCCGGCTAACTCCCAATTCCAAAGGTGGAGAAGGCGCCCTTCCTCCCTATCCAGACCCGCCGATGCGGCCTCCGGGGCTGAGTCCTTTCCCCCTCTCTTTGCGGGCACTTGTGGGGCAGCATCCGTGGGCTCTGCTGGGATCCCCCTGATGCTGCTGGTGGGGGCGCTGGCCCGGATCCCTGGAAGTGAAGGGGGGAAGGAGACCCCCAGTGAGGAGGAGGCCCGTCTGGGACAGGAGAGGATCTGGGAGAGGCCATTAGTGCTCCTGGGGGAAGGGGGGGGAGAAAGGGGCTGGGACTGTTAGGAAATGGGGTGGAGGGCAAGAGAGGCGGGGGAGTGGGCCTGCAGGAGCCTCAATCTCCGCGTGGTCTCCGTCCCCTCTCTCGCCTCATTCCCGCCGCCTCCCTGCAACATGAAGAGGGAGCCCCCACCTCTCTCACCCCTCCCAGTTTGGGTAGGTGGGAGTGGGACCTTCCCCGACCCTGAATGTGGGTTTCTTGCATTCAAAGAGGAAAGAGACGGAAAGCGAGAAGGAAACTGAGGTATTTTCTGACCTGAAGCCCCAAATTGCCCCAAAAGTATATTAAAAAGATGCTTTTTATTTTTTTTTGGCCAAAGTGTTTTTGCAACGTCACTTTTTCTTCTGAGTCTCTGTTTTGTTTTGTTTTGTTAAGTGCGGAAAGAGTTGACATTCGATTCTCTTCTGGGGAGAAGACTCTGAATTTGGGGAGGAGACCCAGAAACCCTCCCCCACCCCAAATAATGCCCCATTGCTGAATCGGAACCTGGATGGGAAGCGGGGACTTAGGAGGGAGGATTTTGGGGGGGTGTGTGGCTCCTCTGACTCCCCAAAACTATCCCTTTGGTGAGGGGGGGGGGCTGGATACCCTCCCTTCCAGATGGGCTTGGTGGGTCTACAGGAGACAGAAGAGAGTTGAACCCCCAAAGGTGGATGATAAGACTTCGGTTATGAGAAGAAAAGTTGAGTATAACCAGGAAATCGGTGTGTGTGTGTGTTTCCCCTTATCCGCAGGACACACCCAGACTCCCCCCCCCTGCAGTCAAGCCCCCCCCTTCCACAGAGATCATCCAAACTGCTTCTGCAGGACCCTCGCTCAAAGCACGACCTCGGCCAGGCCACAGCACGCTCCCATGCTCAAAGGTGAGAGTGGCGGCATCGGGATTTGAACCCAGGACCAGCTGCCCCACCTGCAAAGGGGAGAACCTTCACTCTTGGGGTGAGTGGGTGGGAAAGAACGGTTCACCTCAACAGGAGCTGCTGCTCAAATGGGAACTTGTGAATTTAACCAGGGCAGCAAATGCAGACAGGAACGGGGCTGCAGGGAGGGGGTTCCGGAGAGCCAAGGAGCATGGGTGTAGGGATACTTACTGTGAACCCCTCCCCAAATCCCTCCCTCAAAAGGAAGAGGGGGAGAGAAGCATGGATCTTACTTTCCTTGCAGCCCAGAGAGTTCCTGGGGGTCTCTTCCCTCCTCTCATATTTCCTGCCACTTTGGGGGGGCAAAGAGGCCCCACCGGGATCCAAGGTTCCCTCCAGAGCGTTAGGCAGGACTGCTGGACCAGTTGAGTGTCTGCCTGAAGTTTTCCATCCTGGGACGATGGAGGAGGCCCATCAGGAAGCTCCTCCCCTTCCTCCCCCCAAGCTCCCAACCAAGGGTGGATCCCACTGGGACAGTTCCCCATCTCTCCTATAGGGGGCATCTTCCAGTAGCCTCTTGTGACAGGTTTCCCGCCCCTTCCCCTTCACACAATCTGACCGCCATCTTGTCTGTTTTGACCCACCCAGTCCATCTCCTGAAAAAGGCCCTCTTGGTTATTTTTTTTTTAAAAAACTTTTATTAAGGATTATATGCATAGAGAGAAAGTTAGTACAAATAATGTGAATGTATGAAAAAGACAATGAAAAAAAGGGGGGGAATCCCTCCCAAAAAAGATAATAGGAAAAAGAAACTTTCCCTCCTCATCCTCAGCCAGCAGATTCAACATCAAAACTTTTATCACTAATTAAACAACCAGACGGATCTTCATTCCACTCTTCACCCCATTTTCTCCTAACTTTTCAGTTCTCCTCATTGTTCAACAAAATCTAGTAAAAATGAAGAAAAAATGAAATGAAATACCTGGTTCCTTGACTTATGACTGGTCATGAACTTATGACCAGAAATCCATTCCAAGTTGTGGTCATAGGTCAAAGAATTCCTGTGCTCTGCAAAACATTATATCTACTCCCCAAATACTTATAACTTTTTATGTAATCACTCTGGGAAGTTACTAATGCAGCTTTGCGAGTTACATATTCTCACCCACCACAATTTACACCCTCTTGTGACTGTTGGGGAAAAAAGGGTTCCCAACGTTGTTCACAGCTGAAAAGATTTATCTCTGCTATGGACTTTCTGGTGCCTTCTTAGCTTTGATTTACTAGGAAAAGGTTTCTCACACTCTGTGCATTTGTAAGGCTGTTCTCCTGTGTGGTTTTGCGTGTGCATGCGAAAGGTTGAAGGATGGGCGAAACATTTCCCACACTCCAGGCATTTATATGGTTTCTCTCCAGTGTGGATTCGCTGATGCATCACAAGTGTATCTTTCCGAGCAAAACATTTATCGCACTCTGCGCATTTGTGAGGTTTCTCTCCTGTATGGATTCGGCTGTGACTTCTAAGGCAAGAAGAATAAGCAAATGCTCTCCCACAGTCCAAACATTTGTAATCTTTTTCCCCTGTGTGAATTTTCACATGAGTTCTAAGGGCTGATGAGGTACTATAAAATCTTCCACAGTCATTGCATTGATGTGGCTTCTCCCCTGTGTGGGTTTTATGATGGCTCCAAAGGCCTCTCTTGTCTCCAAAGCATTTTCCACATTCTACGCATTTGTATGGCTTCTCTCCTGTGTGGAACCTTTGATGGCGTCCAAGATGTTGTTTTTGGGAAAAGCATTTCCCACACTCCTCACATTTGTAGGGCTTCTCCCCCGTGTGGATTCTCTGATGAATCTGAACATGGGTTGGCGTAAGAAAACTTTTCCCACACTCCCCACATTTATGGGGTAGGTCCCCTTTGTGCCAATTTTGGTGACTCTGCAGTTCGTAAGAATACACAAATCGTTTCTCACATTCTGGGCACTCATAGGGCCTCTCTCCGGTGTGGACTTTCTGATGTACTACCAGGGTTGATTTCCTGGAAAAACATTTCCCACATTCGAGGCACTTTTCGTTTTTCTCCCCTCTGTGCGTTTTCTGATGACTCCGAAGAGAGGAACTCTGGATGAAACATTTTCCACACTCAAAGCATTTGTAAGATTTTATTCCCACATGAATCTTCTCATGGATCCAAAGACTTGAGTTCTGAGAAAAGCACTTCCCACACTGCCAACACTTGTAGGGTTTCTCCCCTGTGTGGATCCTCTTGTGGATTCTGAGAGTGCCGTTTCTACCGAAAAATTTCCCACATTCCAGACATTGATAAGGTTTCTCTCCAGTGTGGATTTTCTGATGTGTAAGAAGGTCTGACTTTTGACCAAACCGTATGTCACAATCCTCACATTTATAGGGTTTTAGTCTGGTGGAGCTTCTGAGACCTTTTGCTTCATTTCCAGAGTTGGATTTCTCACCCTCCAAACCTTGGCTGGATCCATCTCCCACATGGACCTTCCTGTGGGTCAAAAGGAGGGACCTGCGAGCAAAGGATTTCCCACACTCTGAACATTCATGGGATTTTTGGTGGTTTTTCGGGGTGCTGGTTGTGTCAGACTGGGGATCCAAGCGTTTCCTACGTTTCATGTTTTCCTTTGGCTGCTGCCTTGTGCTGATTTTCTATTATCTGTTGATAGCTGGCTTGCAGGGAAATCTTTGGTGACAATCTTCTATCCGCTGTTAAAGGAAAAAGAAGGGAAGAGTTATATTTGCCTTTCAGACACATAGAGAATCGTAAAATGTTATCCTTGGCAAAGGACCTTGAGGGTTTTCCAGTCTGACCCTCTGCCCAGGCTCAGTATACCTGAGGCAAAGTGATGGAGCCCCTATATCTATAAGAGAGATGTCCTCAACATATAACCATGGTTGGGACTGGAACCTTGGTCGTTCAGTGAAGCAGTGTGTCAACTCTGAAACAGTTCGAGCCTGCCGCAGCCATCTTCCTTTTCTCTAGTTGCCACACAACTCGGGGGAGGGGGGAGTAGAACTGAATGCGATCTAGCCAAAACAACCTGCTATCTCGTGGGAACCAAGGTCATCCCCAACAGGTGCAGCTGGAGACTGGAACTTGTTGCCAAGGAGATGCCAGAGCACTTAATTGGGCAATGTGACCTGTGACCCTAGGGAAGGGGGGGGATCTCTAACGTTTAATTATGCTGAAAGCACGGGAAACAGCTAGAGCTGGTTTTAAGTTCATCCGTGCCAAAATGATGTACTCAATAAAGCTGTTATTTGAGGAAGCTGAAAGTTTCAGAGTGCTGAATCATTTGGGTTCATTAGTTGGAACCCTGACACAGTGGTTAGGGGAAGGGTCACGGGAGCATTTCACTCCACAACCGCCATCCGACACTCCTGGTTGCAATCGTGAAGTGATCTTGGAGGTCTTTACGTGTGGGGAGGAGCAGGCAATGGTCATGGGGTATCTAGCGAGGGGAGAAGACAGGCACAGGCCTTCCATAAATTGGGGAGCCACCCACTAAAGTGGGGTGCACAGCTGCAGCCACCCCTGGAAGCCTGAGCCTGGCCATGCAAAGCAGCTCTAACTGACAGCAATGCTGAGCTGGGCCTTAAGTGGAGGCCTGGCGCCTTCAGCACTCTCAGCCATCTGCCACTGTCCCCAGGCCTGGGCTTCACCCCAATGTCACCGCTACCACTGAGAAATGTGGCCTTAATTCCTAGAGCAGTGGCCTTTGCAGCCTCCGGTTCCATACCATTTCCAGGCAACGTGTCCCAAAGCATCTCTAAGCTTCTCCAGGCCCCGTTAGGTCGAATGCGGCCTGTGCCTGGGAATCACAAGGCCTCTCTTGCTCACTTCAGACAGCCCCACATTCCTTAGCTGGGACTTTTGTCTGCTTAACGACACATGAAATCGCTTAACAACCACAGTCAGGAGTACAGCATTGTAGTCATTTAGCCAAGCTCTCATGTGACATCTTACTTAAGGACCACTTTGCTCAACAACCAAGGCTCCAATTGTGGTGATAAGTCCAGGACAGGATACAGGAATTACCAAAAACTAAGTGACCTTCTACTGCTGCACCATAGAGTGTATTTCAACTTACTGCACCTGTCTATGGTTTGCCAATTGCATAATGGCAGAGAGGACATCATTGCCCAGAGGATCATGGGTTGTCCTCTCCCCTCTTTGGAAGAGCTTTATAGCTCCCGCTGCCTTAAGAAAGTTCAAAACATTCTCAAAGATCCATCTCATCCTCGGCACCCTTTTTTTTGAACTATTAACATCCGGCAGATGGTACAGGACAATCAAACTGGCTGAAAAACAGCTTCTATCCCAGTGCAGTAACTTGATTGAATTCTACTGTATAGTGCAATATTAATGCAATATCAGGGGGTTTCAATTCAATTGCATAGAATCCGAAGGATGTGTGTTTGTGTTTTATTTTTATAGTTATAATGTACACCGAAGATGGCATTTAATTTCATTGTATGAGGTACAATGACAATAAAGTAAACTGAAGCATCGCATAAGGAAAAGAAAGTTCAGGCTCATGTGAATGACCCATTTCTGATTCTTATCCCTTTTTCCTTCTTCTTCTTCTCACTTTTGCACATATGATCTCCATCCCATCATGACTTCTCGATCCCGGCTTCCTAGGCACACTTTTTGTATATTTTATAAACTAAAGTAAAAGAGATCCAGAAAGATAAAGACCAATCAGCCTGGCATCGGTCCCTGGGAATATCTTGGAAAAGATAATCAAGCAATCGATCTGCCTAATAAGCCTAGAAACAAATAAAGCTATCATTACAAGCCAACATGGGTTTGTCAAAAACAGACCACGGCAGAAAAACCTCATTGCATTCTTTGAGAAAGCGACTAAAATTCTGTGGACGTAGCATATGTGGACTTCAGTGAAGCATGGAACAAAGTAGACCGCAGTAGACTGGAACCTAGTTCTTGGCAAGATTTAAAAAAAAATGTGGGATAACATCACCAGCTGATAGATTCCTAACTGGCTCACCAACCACATTTAGCATATAGTCCTAAATGATGAAACTACATTCTTCCCCCACCAAGCACCCAATTTTTCTGCATTGCTCATTTGTATTGTCAAATAAAGATTTAAAACATGGATGTTTGTTCTCCAAACCAAGATTTATCCAAAGTTTCTTTACTCACCTTTAAAGTTGCAACAAAGAGGTCTCTGGGTCAATTGTTATCCCTCTGGGTCAAGGCCAGGGATGACCCTCAGTGCTGAACGATTCGGGTTCTCCTTAACCAATTTGTGCAGGAAGCTGCTTCTCTATCCAGGACATGATTTCCAAATTCTCTGGAACGGAGTCCTGGCCAAAGGTTGGGGGATCCCAATCCAAGAAAATGCCCCCTTTCTCCTCTGTGACGTTCACGGCCACAGCCTCACTGGTTTCCGGCAAAGAGAAACGAAGAAGGCCCAGATGCCAGCAGTGATACTGGACAGAATCTGCAAATGATCTGGAAGAGGGAAGAGAAAATAGGATTATTTGTTGAGGATGCAAAAGAATGAAGATTGAATCGTTTTTGAAAAACATCTTAACAAGACAAAAGGGAAGAAACCTGCAGGATGAAGTCCAACAGGGACCAAAGCATAGTTGTGCCTAGGAAAACTCAGTGGAAGATGAGAGAGATCAGATGAGGCAGAGCATGTGTGAAAAGGGCTTCTTTTCCCTGCTCTTTTTGGAGGCTGCAAGGCCACAAAGATTCAAGTTAAGGGTCTCCAATTTTATTTCCAATGAGGAAAGGCAGCGTTTCCTGGCCATCAGCTTATTCTGGCAGCTGCTCCCAAGACCACCCCTCAAAACTTCCTTTGGGCTTTGAAAAACCTTCAGGGGGGGGGGGGGGGCTGCCCCATGACAGCCTCTTCCTGGGAAAACAAGGAAAAATGCAAAGCTTAGAAATTCTACCCATCTCTTAAAAACAGAAGCAAAGTAGAGATTAGCATGAAAACAAAGGATGCTCTTTTTGGCCTTTCAGAGCACAAAGAAGGAAGATCTCTTTTGTGGGTTAAGACAACAGGAGCTCAATTCAACGAATTTAAACTTCTTCCCGCCCCGTTGCAAAGAGGTCAGGGTGGTGGTAATAACACGCTACGATAATCTCAGTACATGTTTTAAAGCACAATTTACCCTCTTTTTTTATTTTCAAATGCA